AAATCAGCATATTAGAATGATTTCTGAGGATCATGTGACACTGAAGACTGGAGGAATGATGCTGAAAATTCAGCTTTGATCACAGGAATAAATTACATTTTAAAATATATTGAAATAGAGAACACTTATTTTGAATGATAATATTTCACATTATTATTGTTTTGCTGTATTTGTTTTAATCAGCTAAATGCAGTTTTGGTGTGCACTTCTTTCAAAAACAAAAAAATCTTTCCAACGCCACATTTGATCAGTAGTGTATATTATGCATTTTAAATGGACTGTTTTCATAATAAACAATCTTCTGCATTATAATAAAAACAATAAATTCTAAATTCAGTTTTGAATATATTAGTTGCATATTTGTTTCAATATTTGTGCATATGAAGAGGCAGCATTCATTTCAATGAGTCACTGAATCACAATGAATAACAGATGAAGTAATAGCAATATCTCTGTCCCGTCAGTCATCTCTACCTCAGGCCTTTCCTCCACCGTTGAGAGGTGCACAGGAATCACAGAGCAGCCAGAAACTTCCGTTCAACAGTCCGTTTCTCCCCTCACTTCCTACGGAGAACCACCATCCTGGCGCGGTGCAGGACGCTCCTCTGGCCCTCATCACCAAACCTCGCTCCCAGAGCACACGCACCCCTGATAAACCACTGCTGGCTGCCACCAGCCCTGCGTTCAACACTCCCATCAACCTCACCACCACGGGACGCACCTCTACCTCGCCCGCTCTGAAGAGAGAGAGACAATCATTGGTGGAGCACTTCGGGGGGGCGGAGTCTGAACTCCCTTACAGTAAAGACTCTGATGATTCCTTAATGGAGGATGAGGATGAAAATGATGCTTCAAATGACAGTCTCTCAGGTCAGCATGATGTAATCATTCAGATCAAATATTATTGTTTAACATTAGTTAATTACAATCAATTAACGATGAAATATACTAGCATTTATTAAATCTAGTTAATGTTAATATTTGCTAATCCATTATTAAAAATTAAGTTGTTACACAAAAAAACATGAGAACATGTGATTTTAAAACTGTATTTAACAACAGTTTTTTTTTCCCCCACAACATTTTTCACAAACTGTAAACATAAGTGTGGAAAAGCATTTTAATTTTAGTGTCATTGATACACTGTTGTAGATATAGTTTTAATTATATTTTCTGTTTTCACTTTAATTTTAGTTAAAGTTTTTGTAATTTTGTTTGAATTTTGTCATTATTATTATTATTTTAAACATTATTAGTTTTAGTTTATTTAGTTATTTGACTACAAATTAAACTAAACAAAAAATTAGAAATGTTGCCTTGGGAACTAGCTCAAATTACGTTTACTTTTTAAAAAGCGTGTAATTTTATATTTTTAATTCGGCTGATGTTTATTTTATTTCAACTAACAAATTTTTTTGTTGTTGTTGTTTTTAGTTTCAGTTAACTACAATAACCCTGGATCATGAGTTTGATTCCCAATGAAATTGTATGCCACAAATGTATGCCATCAATGCAGTGAAAAGGTCTTCAAATAAAAGCACCTTTCCAGTGCATAAATGTCTATGTAAAGTAGACATAACTATTTATGTCTCTATTTATTTATTTTTGGTTTTGTGCAGTTGCCTTTAATCCTGAACTTTGCAGGTTGACACAAACATATATACTGTATATGTTCGTGCATTTTGCAGCACATCAGAGTGCCAAAACTTTGCATGCATGTATATGATCCTAAATGAGTAAAAAGTCATGTGCAACATAAGTGTATTTTTCACATTCATACATGAGCAAACACTCTCTCATATTGTTTTCTCTTCTGCAGACTCTGACAGCAATTTAGACACTGATTCTGATGATGATGATGGTAAAGATGAAGAGATGGACATAGATTCAGAAATGGACACAACGCCACTCAAACTCACCAAATCCTCAGTGTCTATACTTGACTCCTCCCACAGCACTAGCCCCACCCCTCTCAATCTACAGGTTCATAAAACACCTGCCACAACCACACTAGCCATTGTGACCGGCTCTGGGAATTCAGCCAATCACAGCCCGGCTTTGTCGTCTTACAGTGTGGTCACACCCCCAGGTATTTCAGCAATTGTTATGCATGCGTTTTTTACTATATTTAAATTAAATAATATGGTATCATATATATATCGGCTTTATATTGGCCTTACAACATCCTTATCAGTCGACCACTACATTTCTACTAAAACAGCAAGTGTATGTTTCTTGTGTTTATATATTTGCGTATCTGCTATGTTTCTAGGGAAAAGGAGAAGAGTAACAGATGAATGTGTACTGCGGAAACCTCTAGAAGATGGGCGAGTCTTGACTTTCCAGCCATTTCATGTTACCCTTATTGCCTTTTTTTGTGTTATCAAACATTTGCATGCATATTAATATCCTTTTAGGCCCAAAACATTCATGTTTTCTTCTAATTATGCAACTGTGTCAGAGCAATGCACTATACAGTCTATTACAGTTTGAAGAGAATCTTTGAGAAAGTTAGTGATAGTCAGCATGTTATTAGGTGCGTCCCAAATCGCGTACTTATGCACTATTCTATGACGTTTAGTAGTATAAATGGTGCGAGTAGTGCGTTCACATTGAAAATTCCAAAAAGAAAAAGTGCACTTTAAATACCCGAATGATGCCCTTAAATAACCGAAAAAATTAAGTGTGGAATGTTGGACACTTCATGCACTCAATTGTCGCAGCTTTATGTACCGAAGGGGGAGGGGCTATGAGACTCCGATTATGAATGACAAAATAACCTTATATAATTCATACTATACATGGTTGAGTACATAGTGCATAAGTACATAATGTATGAGTGCATAGTGTATAGTGCGTCATTTGGGACGCAGCTATTGGCTTCCATTAAAGGGGTCATATGATGCGATTTCAAGTTTTCCTTTCTCTTTGGAGTGTTACAAGCTGATTGTGCGTAGATAAGATCCCTGAAGTTGCAAAGACTAAAGTCTCAAAACCAAAGAGAGATTATTTATCAAAGTTAAGACTCTGCCACGCCCCCCCTAAAATGGCTCGTTCTGACACGCCCCCACATATCTACCTCACTATGTGGAAATATTTGCATAATGCTGCCCAAATGTGCACGCAAAGAAAGAAGGCGTGGTTTCAGTAACC